TGAATCTTATGATAAAACGTTACAATTTAAAAATTATAATCATTCCTTAAAAATCCAATTTGTGGTTTATTTTGACTTTGAATGTACACTTCAACCAATCTACACATGTAAACCAAATGATAGAGAGGCTTTTACTAATTGTTATCAGAAACACATCCCTAATAATTTTTGTTATTATATTAAATATGGTAATGGTGATTATAAACCTTCTGTAGAATATTCTGGTCCAAATGCAGCTAAGGAATTATTAAGTTGTATAGAATTAAAGGAAAAAAATATTTCAAAAATATATGATACAATAGTTAATATGAAAAATTTGAATGTAGAACAATTAAATAATTATTATAATAAATCAGATAAGTCATGTTGCCCTAAAACATTGAAATTCGCACCAAACTTAGATTTTAATTCACCCGATTTTCACCAAACCAGTGTCCAAAGCTTCGTTTTGATTTGAGAGAATCTGCGAGGAGGGTCTCCGAATTTGCGAGTGGCCCAAAGCTGAGATACGAGCTTTCAAAGTTCTGAAGTTGGCCAACCAACTTCACCCGATTTTTACCAAACCGAAGTCCAAAGCTTCTTTTGATTTGCGAGGGCGGTCCCCGAATTTGCGAGTCAAAATTCCAACCCTTACGATTTTTCAAAGTTTTCCACCCAAGCCATGACTTGTTGTCAGAAACTTTCAAAACTAGTGTCAAAACACTCGTTATAATTAGCAAGCATTTGCAAGTCCAGTTATAGAATTTGCAAGTTACTCAGAAAGCCCGTAAGATCTTTAACAGTTTGGAAGTTAGCCCACCAAGATTTTCCCAGAATTTCAAACTAGGTATCAAACAAATGCTAATGATTAGCAAGTTTATTTTTAAATTTTGCTAGTAATTTGTGCGGCCAGTTAAAGTTGTCAAAGTTACTAAGTTTGCCCACACATGTTGCCCTAAAACATTGAAATTCGTACCAAACTATAGATTTGAATTCACCCGATTTTCACCAAACCGGTGTCCAAAGCTTCGTTTTGATTTGAGAGAATCTGCGAGGAGGGTCTCCGAATTTGCGAGTGGCCCAAAGCTGAGATACGAGCTTTCAAAGTTCTGAAGTTGGCCCACCCACTTCACCCGATTTTTACCAAACCTGTGTCCAAAGCTTCGTTTTGATTTGAGAGAATCTGCGAGGAGGGTCTCCAAATTTGCGAGTTTCCCAAAGCTGAGATACGAGCTTTCAAAGTTCTGAAGTTGGCCCACCCACTTCACCCGATTTTTACCAAACCGTGTCCAAAGCATCGTTTTGATTTGCGAGAATTTGCGAGGAGGGTCTCCGAATTTGCGATTGGCCCAAAGCTGAGATACGAGCTTTCAAAGTTCTGAAGTTGGCCAACCCACTTCAACCGATTTTTACCAAACCGAAGTCCAAAGCTTCTTTTGATTTGCGAGGGCGGTCCCCGAATTTGCGAGTCAAAATTCCAACCCTTACGATTTTTCAAAGTTTTCCACCCAAGCCCTGACTTGTTGACAGAAACTTTCAAAACTGGTGTCAAAACACTCGTTATAATTAGCAAGCATTTGCAAGTAAAGTTATAGAATTTGCAAGTTACTCAGAAAGCCAGTAAGATCTTTAACATTTTATAAGTTAGCCCACCAAGATTATTCCAGAATTTCAAACTAGGTATCAAATAAATGCTAATGATTAGCAAGTTTATATTTAAATTTTGATAGTAATTTGTGCGGCCAGTTAGAGTTGTCAAAGTTACAAAGTTGGCCCACACATGTTGCCCTAAAACATTGAAATTCGCACCAAACTTAGATTTTAATTCACCCGATTTTCACCAAACCAGTGTCCAAAGCTTCGTTTTGATTTGAGAGAATCTGCGAGGAGGGTCTCCGAATTTGCGAGTGGCCCAAAGCTGAGATACGAGCTTTCAAAGTTCTGAAGTTGGCCCACCCACTTCACCCGATTTTTACCAAACCGGTGTCCAAAGCATCGTTTTGATTTGCGAGAATTTGCGAGGAGGGTCTCCGAATTTGCGATTGGCCCAAAGCTGAGATACGAGCTTTCAAAGTTCTGAAGTTGGCCAACCCACTTCACCCGATTTTTACCAAACCGAAGTCCAAAGCTTCTTTTGATTTGCGAGGGCGGTCCCCGAATTTGCGAGTCAAAATTCCAACCCTTACAATTTTTCAAAGTTTTCCACCCAAGCCATGACTTGTTGTCAGAAACTTTCAAAACTAGTGTCAAAACCCTCGTTTTAATATGCAAAGAATTTGCAAGTCCACTCACGAAATTTGCGAGTCAAAATTCCAACCCTTACGATTTTTCAATGTTTTCCACGCAAGCCCTGACTTGTTGTCAGAAACTTTCAAAACTGGTGTCAAAACACTCGTTATAATTAGCAAGCATTTGCAAGTAAAGTTATAGAATTTGCAAGTTACTCAGAAAGCCAGTAAGATCTTTAACATTTTATAAGTTAGCCCACCAAGGTTGTCCCAGAACTTCAAAATAGGTATCAAACAAAAGCTAATGATTAGCAAGTTCATTTTGATATTTTGCTAGTAATTTGAGTGGCCAGTAAAAGTTGTCAAAGTTACAAAGTTTGCCCACTCAAGTTGCCCTAAAACATCGAAATTCGTACCAAACTATAGATTTTAATTCACCCGATTTTCACCAAACCGGTGTCCAAAGCTTCGTTTTGATTTGAGAGAATCTGCGAGGAGGGTCTCCGAATTTGCGAGTGGCCCAAAGCTGAGATACGAGCTTTCAAAGTTCTGAAGTTGGCCCACCCACTTCACCCGATTTTTACCAAACCGGTGTCCAAAGCATCGTTTTGATTTGCGACAATTTGCGAGGAGGGTCTCCGAATTTGCGATTGGCCCAAAGCTGAGATACGAGCCTTCAAAGTTCTGAAGTTGGCCAACCCACTTCACCCGATTTTTACCAAACCGAAGTCCAAAGCTTCTTTTGATTTGCGAGGGCGGTCCCCGAATTTGCGAGTCAAAATTCCAACCCTTACGATTTTTCAAAGGGGTCCACCCAAGCCATGACTTGTTGTCAGAAACTTTCAAAACTAGTGTCAAAACCCTCGTTTTAATATGCAAAGAATTTGCAAGTCCACTCACGAAATTTGCGAGTCAAAATTCCAACCCTTACGATTTTTCAATGTTTTCCACCTAAGCCCTGACTTGTTGTCAGAAACTTTCAAAACTGGTGTCAAAACACTCGTTATAATTAGCAAGCATTTGCAAGTAAAGTTATAGAATTTGCAAGTTACTCAGAAAGCCAGTAAGATCTTTAACATTTTATAAGTTAGCCCACCAAGATTATCCCAGAATTTCAAACTAGGTATCAAACAAATGCTAATGATTAGCAAGTTTATTTTTAAATTTTGCTAGTAATTTGTGCGGCCAGTTAGAGTTGTCAAAGTTACTAAGTTGGCCCACACATGTTGCCCTAAAACATTGAAATTCGTACCAAACTATAGATTTGAATTCACCCGATTTTCACCAAACCGGTGTCCAAAGCTTCGTTTTGATTTGAGAGAATCTGCGAGGAGGGTCTCCGAATTTGCGAGTGGCCCAAAGCTGAGATACGAGCTTTCAAAGTTCTGAAGTTGGCCCACCCACTTCACCCGATTTTTACCAAACCGGTGTCCAAAGCATCGTTTTGATTTGCGAGAATTTGCGAGGAGGGTCTCCGAATTTGCGATTGGCCCAAAGCTGAGATACGAGCTTTCAAAGTTCTGAAGTTGGCCAACCCACTTCACCCGATTTTTACCAAACCGAAGTCCAAAGCTTCTTTTGATTTGCGAGGGCGGTCCCCGAATTTGCGAGTCAAAATTCCAACCCTTACAATTTTTCAAAGTTTTCCACCCAAGCCATGACTTGTTGTCAGAAACTTTCAAAACTAGTTTCAAAACCCTCGTTTTAATATGCAAAGAATTTGCAAGTCCACTCACGAAATTTGCGAGTCAAAATTCCAACCCTTACGATTTTTCAATGTTTTCCACCCAAGCCCTGACTTGTTGTCAGAAACTTTCAAAACTGGTGTCAAAACACTCGTTATAATTAGCAAGCATTTGCAAGTAAAGTTATAGAATTTGCAAGTTACTCAGAAAGCCAGTAAGATCTTTAACATTTTATAAGTTAGCCCACCAAGATTATCCCAGAATTTCAAACTAGGTATCAAACAAATGCTAATGATTAGCAAGTTTATTTTTAAATTTTGCTAGTAATTTGTGCGGCCAGTTAGAGTTGTCAAAGTTACTAAGGTGGCCCACACATGTTGCCCTAAAACATTGAAATTCGTACCAAACTATAGATTTGAATTCACCCGATTTTCACCAAACCGGTGTCCAAAGCTTCGTTTTGATTTGAGAGAATCTGCGAGGAGGGTCTCCGAATTTGCGATTGGCCCAAAGCTGAGATACGAGCTTTCAAAGTTCTGAAGTTGGCCAACCCACTTCACCCGATTTTTACCAAACCGAAGTCCAAAGCTTCTTTTGATTTGCGAGGGCGGTCCCCGAATTTGCGAGTCAAAATTCCAACCCTTACAATTTTTCAAAGTTTTCCACCCAAGCCATGACTTGTTGTCAGAAACTTTCAAAACTAGTTTCAAAACCCTCGTTTTAATATGCAAAGAATTTGCAAGTCCACTCACGAAATTTGCGAGTCAAAATTCCAACCCTTACGATTTTTCAATGTTTTCCACCCAAGCCCTGACTTGTTGTCAGAAACTTTCAAAACTGGTGTCAAAACACTCGTTATAATTAGCAAGCATTTGCAAGTAAAGTTATAGAATTTGCAAGTTACTCAGAAAGCCAGTAAGATCTTTAACATTTTATAAGTTAGCCCACCAAGATTATCCCAGAATTTCAAACTAGGTATCAAACAAATGCTAATGATTAGCAAGTTTATTTTTAAATTTTGCTAGTAATTTGTGCGGCCAGTTAGAGTTGTCAAAGTTACTAAGGTGGCCCACACATGTTGCCCTAAAACATTGAAATTCGTACCAAACTATAGATTTGAATTCACCCGATTTTCACCAAACCGGTGTCCAAAGCTTCGTTTTGATTTGAGAGAATCTGCGAGGAGGGTCTCCGAATTTGCGAGTGGCCCAAAGCTGAGATACGAGCTTTCAAAGTTCTGAAGTTGGCCCACCCACTTCACCCGATTTTTACCAAACCTGTGTCCAAAGCTTCGTTTTGATTTGAGAGAATCTGCGAGGAGGGTCTCCAAATTTGCGAGTTTCCCAAAGCTGAGATACGAGCTTTCAAAGTTCTGAAGTTGGCCCACCCACTTCACCCGATTTTTACCAAACCGTGTCCAAAGCATCGTTTTGATTTGCGAGAATTTGCGAGGAGGGTCTCCGAATTTGCGATTGGCCCAAAGCTGAGATACGAGCTTTCAAAGTTCTGAAGTTGGCCAACCCACTTCAACCGATTTTTACCAAACCGAAGTCCAAAGCTTCTTTTGATTTGCGAGGGCGGTCCCCGAATTTGCGAGTCAAAATTCCAACCCTTACGATTTTTCAATGTTTTCCACGCAAGCCCTGACTTGTTGTCAGAAACTTTCAAAACTGGTGTCAAAACACTCGTTATAATTAGCAAGCATTTGCAAGTAAAGTTATAGAATTTGCAAGTTACTCAGAAAGCCAGTAAGATCTTTAACATTTTATAAGTTAGCCCACCAAGGTTGTCCCAGAACTTCAAAATAGGTATCAAACAAAAGCTAATGATTAGCAAGTTCATTTTGATATTTTGCTAGTAATTTGAGTGGCCAGTAAAAGTTGTCAAAGTTACAAAGTTTGCCCACTCAAGTTGCCCTAAAACATCGATATTCGTACCAAACTATAGATTTTAATTCACCCGATTTTCACCAAACCGGTGTCCAAAGCTTCGTTTTGATTTGAGAGAATCTGCGAGGAGGGTCTCCGAATTTGCGAGTGGCCCAAAGCTGATAGACGAGCTTTCAAAGTTCTGAAGTTGGCCCACCCACTTCACCCGATTTTTACCAAACCGGTGTCCAAAGCATCGTTTTGATTTGCGAGAATTTGCGAGGAGGGTCTCCGAATTTGCGATTGGCCCAAAGCTGAGATACGAGCTTTCAAAGTTCTGAAGTTTTGCCAACCCACTTCACCCGATTTTTACCAAACCGAAGTCCAAAGCTTCTTTTGATTTGCGAGGGCGGTCCCCGAATTTGCGAGTCAAAATTCCAACCCTTACAATTTTTCAAAGTTTTCCACCCAAGCCATGACTTGTTGTCAGAAACTTTCAAAACTAGTGTCAAAACCCTCGTTTTAATATGCAAAGAATTTGCAAGTCCACTCACGAAATTTGCGAGTCAAAATTCCAACCCTTACGATTTTTCAATGTTTTCCACGCAAGCCCTGACTTGTTGTCAGAAACTTTCAAAACTGGTGTCAAAACACTTGTTATAATTAGCAAGCATTTGCAAGTAAAGTTATAGAATTTGCAAGTTACTCAGAAAGCCAGTAAGATCTTTAACATTTTATAAGTTAGCCCACCAAGGTTGTCCCAGAACTTCAAAATAGGTATCAAACAAAAGCTAATGATTAGCAAGTTCATTTTGATATTTTGCTAGTAATTTGAGTGGCCAGTAAAAGTTGTCAAAGTTACAAAGTTTGCCCACTCAAGTTGCCCTAAAACATCGATATTCGTACCAAACTATAGATTTTAATTCACCCGATTTTCACCAAACCGGTGTCCAAAGCTTCGTTTTGATTTGAGAGAATCTGCGAGGAGGGTCTCCGAATTTGCGAGTGGCCCAAAGCTGATAGACGAGCTTTCAAAGTTCTGAAGTTGGCCCACCCACTTCACCCGATTTTTACCAAACCGAAGTCCAAAGCTTCTTTTGATTTGCGAGGGCGGTCCCCGAATTTGCGAGTCAAAATTCCAACCCTTACGATTTTTCAAAGGGGTCCACCCAAGCCATGACTTGTTGTCAGAAACTTTCAAAACTAGTGTCAAAACCCTCGTTTTAATATGCAAAGAATTTGCAAGTCCACTCACGAAATTTGCGAGTCAAAATTCCAACCCTTACGATTTTTCAATGTTTTCCACCCAAGCCCTGACTTGTTGTCAGAAACTTTCAAAACTGGTGTCAAAACACTCGTTATAATTAGCAAGCATTTGCAAGTAAAGTTATAGAATTTGCAAGTTACTCAGAAAGCCAGTAAGATCTTTAACATTTTATAAGTTAGCCCACCAAGATTATCCCAGAATTTCAAACTAGGTATCAAACAAATGCTAATGATTAGCAAGTTTATTTTTAAATGTTGCTAGTAATTTGTGCGGCCAGTTAGAGTTGTCAAAGTTACTAAGTTGGCCCACACATGTTGCCCTAAAACATTGAAATTCGTACCAAACTATAGATTTGAATTCACCCGATTTTCACCAAACCGGTGTCCAAAGCTTCGTTTTGATTTGAGAGAATCTGCGAGGAGGGTCTCCGAATTTGCGAGTGGCCCAAAGCTGAGATACGAGCTTTCAAAGTTCTGAAGTTGGCCCACCCACTTCACCCGATTTTTACCAAACCGGTGTCCAAAGCATCGTTTTGATTTGCGAGAATTTGCGAGGAGGGTCTCCGAATTTGCGATTGGCCCAAAGCTGAGATACGAGCTTTCAAAGTTCTGAAGTTGGCCAACCCACTTCACCCGATTTTTACCAAACCGAAGTCCAAAGCTTCTTTTGATTTGCGAGGGCGGTCCCCGAATTTGCGAGTCAAAATTCCAACCCTTACAATTTTTCAAAGTTTTCCACCCAAGCCATGACTTGTTGTCAGAAACTTTCAAAACTAGTGTCAAAACCCTCGTTTTAATATGCAAAGAATTTGCAAGTCCACTCACGAAATTTGCGAGTCAAAATTCCAACCCTTACGATTTTTCAATGTTTTCCACGCAAGCCCTGACTTGTTGTCAGAAACTTTCAAAACTGGTGTCAAAACACTCGTTATAATTAGCAAGCATTTGCAAGTAAAGTTATAGAATTTGCAAGTTACTCAGAAAGCCAGTAAGATCTTTAACATTTTATAAGTTAGCCCACCAAGGTTGTCCCAGAACTTCAAAATAGGTATCAAACAAAAGCTAATGATTAGCAAGTTCATTTTGATATTTTGCTAGTAATTTGAGTGGCCAGTAAAAGTTGTCAAAGTTACAAAGTTTGCCCACTCAAGTTGCCCTAAAACATCGAAATTCGTACCAAACTATAGATTTTAATTCACCCGATTTTCACCAAACCGGTGTCCAAAGCTTCGTTTTGATTTGAGAGAATCTGCGAGGAGGGTCTCCGAATTTACGAGTGGCCCAAAGCTGAGAGACGAGCTTTCAAAGTTCTGAAGTTGGCCCACCCACTTCACCCGATTTTTACCAAACCGGTGTCCAAAGCATCGTTTTGATTTGCGACAATTTGCGAGGAGGGTCTCCGAATTTGCGATTGGCCCAAAGCTGAGATACGAGCCTTCAAAGTTCTGAAGTTGGCCAACCCACTTCACCCGATTTTTACCAAACCGAAGTCCAAAGCTTCTTTTGATTTGCGAGGGCGGTCCCCGAATTTGCGAGTCAAAATTCCAACCCTTACGATTTTTCAAAGGGGTCCACCCAAGCCATGACTTGTTGTCAGAAACTTTCAAAACTGGTGTCAAAACACTCGTTATAATTAGCAAGCATTTGCAAGTAAAGTTATAGAATTTGCAAGTTACTCAGAAAGCCAGTAAGATCTTTAACATTTTATAAGTTAGCCCACCAAGATTATCCCAGAATTTCAAACTAGGTATCAAACAAATGCTAAGTTACAAAGTTGGCCCACACATGTTGCCCTAAAACATTGAAATTCGTACCAAACTATAGATTTTAATTCACCCGATTTTCACCAAACCGGTGTCCAAAGCTTCGTTTTGATTTGAGAGAATCTGCGAGGAGGGTCTCCGAATTTGCGAGTGGCCCAAAGCTGAGATACGAGCTTTCAAAGTTCTGAAGTTGGACAACCCACTTCACCCGATTTTTACCAAACCGAAGTCCAAAGCTTCTTTTGATTTGCGAGGGCTGTCCCCGAATTTGCGAGTCAAAATTCCAACCCTTACGATTTTTCAAAGTTTTCCACCCAAGCCATGACTTGTTGTCAGAAACTTTCAAAACTGGTGTCAAAACACTCGTTATAATTAGCAAGCATTTGCAAGTCCAGTTATAGAATTTGCAAGTTACTCAGAAAGCCCGTAAAGGTACGCGTTCCTAGGTGCGTCAAGACGCTGCGTCTAGAAACTGCGTCAGACGCAACGTAACTGACTACGTGTATTTTTCTGAACTGCATTCCTAGGCGCGTCAGACGCTGTGCGTCTAGGGTTATGACGCAACGTCACTGCCCCGATAGGAGTGTCAAGCGTCAGACGCAGTATTTTACCACTGTTGACTGATCACTCGCATCACCATGGGCGTGTTTACTTCTCGATTTTTAATTTGGTGGGTGGTGTTATATGGTGACTTAAACTTTAAAGTTAAAAGTGATACGTATTTTAGTAACAGCATAAATAATAATAATTATTTGAATTTTATGTCCGACGTTTGCATTTATTTTTTATGAACAATAAATTATTATAGTTGCAATGAAATCTCCACATTAGCACGTCTTGCTGGTTCCATATCACAAATACATAAAATACAAGTTTCGTCTGTTCAGCACTTCAGCCTTAATATTTAGATTTGTTATTTTCAAACATAATTAACCTATGATGGGTTTATTATCAAATATAAAGATAGTAATATAACCTATACTAATATAACTAGAGTACTTTCGTGAGTCTTTTTTTTAGATTTAGAATTATAAATAATTCCAAGCATTGAAGCACATAAAATAGGTATTACAATTTTAAGTTTACAATAAATTACAGTTCAAAATAAATATTTATAATTTTCTAGTTATTATAGAAAATTGTTATATAATAATTAATAAATAACTGATAACTGAATAATTACTTAAGTTATTCGAAGAATACCTAAGTGAACCTGGGTCAGTTAATCTGGTTATGCGGAATTCTAAACTTGTCGCTCTCCGGGGATATTTTGATTACTTCCATAGTTCCATATAATAGTAAAAATAGTCCATTTCCATAAATCGTATACAAAGTTTCGATTGCGATAAATATGGTTTACTGTAGGTACTTAATATAGTACCTACTATAGTCTATATAGTAGTATACTAGTTTAGTCGTATAGTTACTACGTTGACGACTGTTTCCCGAGCAATAAGTAACTACAGGTGAAATGGCGAAATTTGTTTTTACCGCTGCCGAAGATGAACTACTCATAGAAAATATACGAATGCATGAAATGATTTATGATAGTGGTCATGTTAAGTACAAGGAAACCGTGTTTAAAGAAGAACGCTGGAAAGAGATTTCTAAAAATGTTTGTAGATCTGGTAAGTATTTTTTTCTTTTATTAACTCAATAACTACTATCTTTTATTATTAAAATAAAATTAACACAGCATGTCAGCATTATTATTATTTATTTATTAGGTATTATAATAATGTTTAATACATAATATGTAATAGGTACAAATAAGTACTAGGTATAGGTAATTTCATTGAAATGATACAGCTCCCTCGTTCATAAAAAATTGCTTAAATGTGTCCCTCACAAGAAAACCGTCTGCATTTAAAAATCCACCTTCGCGTACAATTGACGTCATATTATTTATTGGTCTAGATTCTCCTGGGTCATAATTATAAAACACTTTTCCATTTTTTTCTAAATACCCTTCTCTCAGCATATTATGAAGGCAGCAGGCAACAAGTATCATACTGTCACATGTTTCCGGGTTAATATTTATAGTTTGATAAAAAACACGAAATACTTGAGACAGTAGTCCGAATGCATTTTCCGTTACACGGCGCGCTCGACTTAGTCGGTAATTAAATACTGCTTTTGAAGCATCGTCATTGGCTGATTGCCTGGTGTATGGCTTCATAATGTGCGTATGCAACCTAAACGCCTCATCTCCTAAGATAACGAAAGGCAGTACAGTATTGGAACCAGGTAATGCATTGGCATCTGGAAATCCAAATGAACCATTCAGAATTTTTTTCCCCAAATTGGATTTCAAAAAAATACCACTATCGCCTTCTTTCCCATACGATCCAACGTCGACTGCCACAAATTTGTTATTAGCATCTACCATTGCTAATAATACTATTGAGAAATAGTCCTTATAGTTGTAGTACAATGATCCTGTATTACTTGGGCAACGTATACGGACGTGTTTTCCATCAATTGCAAGGATACAGTTTGGAAAATTCCATTTTGTCCAAAATTCCTCAGATTTAGCCTTAAAATCGACCGTTTCAGTATTGGGTAGAAATATTGGTATAAGTCTGACTTTCAAAGCTTCCAGTGTTTCTTTAACAATTTTGCTTATGTAGCTATTAGAAATTCGAAACGAAAACGACAATGAGCGAAATGATTCTCCGGTTGCAATATATCTAAATAAAAATAAATTACAATTACAATTAATATAATTCTTGTATATTTACAAATTATATTTAAATAAATAAATATAAATTGTAAATATTAAATTTAAATTGTATTTATATTGTATGGTTTATATGCGTGTATTATAATTTTATTGTATATAAGCATAAAACCAATACTAAATAATACCTAGATAATTCCTATTAATTAATAATGAATAATTATAAATTTAAAAAAATAATAATGCAATTAAATACCTAATACTTTGGTTTTTAAATAATTTAATTTTCCAAACATTTAGAATTTTAGTAATATCAGTATTATAATGTATATATTATATTATTATATTGGTACTTAAAAATAAACGAATTGTATATTAAAAAAATACAATAGATAAATAAATTTATAAACTATACCTTATAAAAGAACGAATTATAAATTTGACAATATTAATACCTACTTCTTATATAACTAATCAAAGTTAAAAATAATATATATATATATATATATATATATATATGTAGGTAATGAAAATAATTATTGATAGAATATAACAAATAGTTTAATAACTTAATTTAAAATCTGATACACCTACATAAAAAAAATCATAAAAAAATAGGTACCGTACTTGAATAACCACACTTGAATTAATGTGAATAATCAATAGTTTTATAAAACCCAGATTTCTAAATTGGATGTTTTGATTTTTTCCAAATCAAGTTTAATTTGATTTAAAATTGTAGGTACTTATAATTAAATTATTAAAAAATAGAAATAAAAATAAAAATGTTATTTTATACCTAAGTGTAGCGCACAAAAGTCAATCAATCATAGTATAAAAAAAAAAATTTAAAAATTGATCATAACATAAGTTATTTCATTTGTCAAGTGTTTCTGTATAATATGTACCTATATTAGGTATGTATAGGTATATTAATTTAACTTATTATTGAATATAATTTAGTGAATGATTGTAAAAAAAGATGGAGAAATATAAGAGACACATACATAAAAAATAAAAAAAAACTTGGTACAGGATCTGAAAGTGCGTTAAAGAAACCTTGGCCTTTATCGCAAAGTGTTGCGCTCCTGGATAAAGTCGAGTTTGAACGAAGGTTGGTACATTTCTCTTAAATTATACCTACTTTAAACATATTATAATATTTAAATAATACATTTCTAATATACTTTATTTATATATTTAAATCCAAAATGTGTTTTTATTAACTGAATTTAATTTTTATCATAGTACTATTACAAACGTGTCGCCATTCAGCCCATCAATTCATGCAGCAGATGGTGATAGTGGCGAGGTTATACAGGGCGATATAGATGAGAATGAAGAAGATATAGAACCAAATTTTGAAACTAATGCACCAAGTACGAGTAAGTCATATGCTGGTAAGAGAATAAGGTCAAATGCAGATAATTTAGCAGTGGTTTAAGCAAAGCGGTCGAAAGAAAGAGATGCTTTATTCGCTAATATTCATAGTCAACAAGAAAAAATATTAAGTGTTAAAGTCGATGATGTGGATCTATTTTTTAAAAGTATAGCGGAAACAGTTAAAAAATTTTCCAAAAAAGGTATATCTGAGGCCAAGTTAAAAGTTTTAACGCTGGTTTCGGAATTAGAAGAAAAGTATGATGTACCTGAGATTCCTGGATCGGCATATAATCCAGCTTACTCCCCTCAAGATAATCCACCAAATCCAATTCCACGGCCAAATTTATTTACTCCATATAATTATGCTGCATATACTCAAGTTCCAGAACCCCAAGGATTTTCAAATTTTGCTCCATATGATAATTCAATTTATAAACCATAACTCAGAAGTCAAGAGTAAAATGATATTTGGATTCATACATTACATTTTTTTTTTATATTTGAACTATTACACATAATTATAATTATACGATTTTTATTTTTATTTTATATCGAACATTTCTATTTTAAATCAAGTTTTTATAATATGTCATATTTTATATAATTAACATTATAATTACTTTGTCTCATTTAAAAAAAAAATGTTATTTCAATAATTTATAAATCAAATAAATTACTTAGTAATCATTATTATTTAATATTTATTACGAATATATAAACTACATTACCTCAACGTCAGTGCTAGTTTTTCTTCAGGTGTTATCGGCTGTTGTACTCGATTGTATGGCACAGAAGAGATATCATTTTTCACCAGTGACAAAACAAAATTAAACTGTTTTAAATTTAATCTAAAAAATTCACGAAACAATTTTTCATCGTTTACTAAATGCCCTTTAATTAGTTTTTCAAAAAATCCTTCTTGTTCCCTCATTAAAAACACGGGTTTTGTGGATTTTCTTTTCTTCTTCAGCATTAAACATTCTAACATATTGTCTTCTTCTTCCTCTTCTTCAAGTAATGACATAAAAATGTTATTAATATTTACAATGGCTCGTTGGTTATTCATATTTGTACAGTATGTCAGTATACGTGCACATTCGTTGAAAACTCAATAGCTAATGGTTCATGTTCATATATTACTTTTAACTTAAAAGGTAAAATCTAGTTATACAGGGTGATTCTTTTATCGTTGAACACTCATTGTACTAGGTATAATAGTACCATAATACTAGGTATATAGTTATCAAAACATAAATATGTTCTAGTGATTCTATGATCTAAGTACCTATCGTTAAGTTTCACTAGTAATTCATCAAAATAATATTAAATTATTAAGAATTATTGTAGAATGCAATTAGGTTGATACTAGGTATCTACGTATAATATTATATGCATATTATAGTGATATAACGATACACTATTTTCAGTATTTGGATCTAGTTAAATCCTATAAAGTATTTTCAATTTTTGGTACTGATATTATTATAATATTAAAAATTAACATATAAACATGACTATTATATTTTTTTAAATTTTGTTTGAATATGCTACGTATTATGAAATATTATATTTTAAATAAATATTTAATATTATATTATCTAAACATATTTTCAATGATAGGTACCTATACCAAGAGTTTATTCCGGTATCCATTCTAAATTATATCCCTTTGCTATAGTGCTTGATGCAAATTTATCTATAGATAAAGTCCAATGAGTTATATAATTATTAAACATCTAGCTAGTTACCACACATTTGAAATACATATTTTTCAGGGACCCCCCTCCCATTTTTTTTATCTACCACATAAACATATCACGCCCGTATACAAGGGGGGGGGGGGGGGTTTAGGAGTTCAACCCCCCCCCCCCCCCGAAATTTTTAAAGTAGGTATATATTTATAATATAGGTAACAAAAACTAACTACATACGTCTTTGAAATATTTTAAACCCCCCCCCCCCCCCCCGAAAATTGATCCTGGATACGTGCTTGAAACATATAGGTAAAAGCTAAACGCAACGCCTAGACGCAGCATAGGAAAGCGAGCCGGACGCAACGTCCAGACGTGACGTCAGGCGCTGCGTCAAAACGTTGCGTCTTGACGCACCTAGGAACGCGTACCTTAAGACAAATGACTGTAGGAACATGAAATTTTGACTGGTTGTTTATATTTGCCTTTTCTATACACGATAACATTTTCAAAATATTTTGAACTGTTTAGGGACATTTTCCATTTTTTTTTAGTTTTTTTTCTAAAAATATCAATAAAATTTTATTTGTTGGGTAAAAAAGCTTGAAAATTTGATAGAAGGCTCCTAGTATATTGTTTCAAAGGCAGATGAAAAAGATTAAAAATCCTTATTCACAGTATTTTTTTAATAAGCATTTAAAGTTAAAAAATTGACAAAATATGGAAAAATCTCAACAATTAGCAAATTATTTTGAGTTAAGAATTCGTAAAAATTTTTCTTTTTAAATCTAAGATTTCAAAATTTAATTCAAGATTCCTTATAGGATTCTCTACGTTTATCAATAAAAAAATCTCTACCGGAAAAACAAATTAAATTTTTATGAGCGTTTAAAGTTCATAATTTTACAATATTGGATATTCACTCGATTTCTCATGTAGCGATTTCCTTATTTGGTTGTAATTCAAAAACGAATAACTGTAGATACATGAAAATTTCACTGAATGTTTATATTAGTATTTCTTATACACCATACAATTTTGAAAATATTTTGACTCTTTTTGAGCTGTTTATGGGCATTTACAGTTTTCAATTTTTTTATTTTTTTTTCTATAATTATCAATAAAGTTTTATCTGTTGTGCCAAAAAGTGTAAAAATTTAATACGAAACTCTTGATATATTTTTACAATAGCAGTTGAAAAATATTAAAAATACATAGGCACAGTTTTTTTTTATAAGCATTTAAAGATCAAATTTGGACAGAATTTATCAAAATCTCGAAAATATTATCAACCATTGTAATTAATAAATTATAAAATGTTCAGTTTTTATAGCTAAGGATTGAAAATTTAAAACAAGATTCCATGAAAGTCGTTGATTCTGTTACCGAAAAATCTAAAAAATACACAATCACAATTTATTTTTATATTCATTTTAAGTTCAAATTTGGACGAAATTACATAAAAACCTAGAATAACTATTTTAGTTATTTTGTTGTGATTGTATAATATTATTCGTGGGCACTTGAAACTTCTAAAGCGTACTATTATATATCTATGATAGTATCACGGTTTGTTGTTGAGGTATAACGCGTTATAAGTACCTAATGGATATTGTGATATGATTAATTTTGGAATTTATTATAGGTACCTACTCGTATTATAGGTCAATTTTTTTTTTAATACCATAGAAATGTATATAATATGTGTTAAACCTATACTGACTACCGTCTCCACTCAGAATCGTTTTTCATATACAATGATATTATATTATCATTGAATTCAAATTTAATACCATCCATTATACAGTGACAAACTTGTAACCTACAGTACAGCAGAGCGACATCCACTTGCCCACCTTTTTTTAAACATTAGTTCATATAATTTTTTTTCTTCAAATATATTATGATATTATCCCGTATCATGCTTACATAAAAAACATTTTTCAGCTAAAATTGAGGAAGGACTTGATTTTGAAACTGCAATATGCAATGACAAAACTTATAATGATTTCAATTTAGTGCAAGTGGTTACAGAAAAAAATTAAATTGTAATAAACGACAAATAAACTCAGCACTTGGAATTGAAGGAAAAGATTATAAAACTACAAAAGGAAATTCGATTGAAGAAAATCAAATCCACCATACCCCAGCATGTCAAAGAATGTCAAAACTTACCGTTATTTATTTATTTTGCACACCCCTGGCGCCGTGTCAAGAAATGGTGGGATAGTTTTTTCAAACATTAGCTTATATAATTTTATTTCTTCGAATATATGATAATATCCCGAAAATTGCTAACATTAAAAACAATTTTTGAGTTAATTTTGCGAAGGACTTGATTTTGAAACTGCAATATGCAATGCCAAAACTTATAATGGTTTACAAATTAGTACAAGTGCTTACAGAAAAAAATTAAATGGTAATAAACGACAAATAAACTCAGCACTTGGAATTGAAGGAAAAGATTATAAAACTACTTAAGGAAATTTGGTTCATAGAAACGCAAATCCACCATACCCCAGCATCTCAAAGAATGTCAAAACTTACCGTTATTTATTTATTTTGCACACCCCTGGCGCCATTTCAAGAAACTTTATGAAAGTTTTAAAGATTCTGAGTGAAACGATGATGTATTGATTTTACAATGATGTGTGTTTTTTTATTTATTTATTTATTTTATTTTTGTGTCCGTGTACACGATAAGTAGTCGAAATAATGCTTCGATTTTCAACTTCAGTATATTGTTCGATTGGAAAGTGAATATCGTTGGTGCATTGGGAAGGTCAAAATTTAAAATTCCCAATGGTTTTCAAAAGCGCCGGGAAAAATAACAAAAAAATTAAGGAAAAACGGGAATTTTTACGCAAAATCGGTTTTTGACAAAATCGAATTTGGTTTTTGGTGTACCTTTAAGACAAATGACTGTAGGAACATGAAATTTTGACTGGTTGTTTATATTTGCCTTTTCTATACACGATAACATTTTCAAAATATTTTGAACTGTTTAGGGACATTTTCCATTTATTTTTAGTTTTTTTTTTAAAAATATCAATAAAATTTTATTTGTTGGGTAAAAAAGCTTGAAAATTTGATAGAAGGCTCCTAGTATATTGTTTCAAAGGCAGATGAAAAAGATTAAAAATCCTTATTCACAGTATTTTTTTAATAAGCATTTAAAGTTCAAAAATTGACAAAATATGGAACAATCTCAACAATTAGCAAATTATTTTGAGTTAAGAATTCGTAAAAATTTTTCTTTTTAAATCTAAGATTTCAAAATTTAATTCAAGATTCCTTATAGGATTCTCTACGTTTATCAATAAAAAAATCTCTACCGGAAAAACAAATTAAATTTTTATGAGCGTTTAAAGTTCATAATTTTACAATATTGGATATTCACTCGATTTCTCATGTAGCGATTTCCTTATTTTGTTGTAATTCAAAAACGAATAACTGTAGATACATGAAAATTTCACTGAATGTTTATATTAGTATTTCTTATACACCATACAATTTTGAAAATATTTTGACTCTTTTTGAGCTGTTTATGGGCATTTACAGTTTTCAATTTTTTTATTTTTTTTTCTATAATTATCAATAAAGTTTTATCTGTTGTGCCAAAAAGTGTAAAAATTTAATACGAAACTCTTGATATATTTTTACAATAGCAGTTGAAAAATATTAAAAATACATAGGCACAGTTTTTTTTTATAAGCATTTAAAGATCAAATTTGGACAGAATTTATCAAAATCTCGAAAATATTATCAACCATTGTAATTAATAAATTATAAAACGTTCAGTTTTTATAGCTAAGGATTGAAAATTTAAAACAAGATTCCATGAAAGTCGTTGATTCTGTTACCGAAAAATCTAAAAAATACACAATCACAATTTATTTTTATATTCATTTTAAGTTCAAATTTGGACGAAATTACATAAAAACCTAGAATAACTATTTTAGTTATTTTGTTGTGATTGTATAATATTATTCGTGGGCACTTGAAACTTCTAAAGCGTACTATTATATATCTATGATAGTATCACGGTTTGTTGTTGAGGTATAACGCGTTATAAGTACCTAATGGATATTGTGATATGATTAATTTTGGAATTTATTATAGGTACCTACTCGTATTATAAGTCAATTTTTTTTTTAATACCATAGAAATGTATATAATATGTGTTAAACCTATACTGACTACCGTCTCCACTCAGAATCGTTTTTCATATACAATGATATTATATTATCATTGAATTCAAATTTAATACCATCCATTATACAGTGACAAACTTGTAACCTACAGTACAGCAGAGCGACATCCACTTGCCCACCTTTTTTTAAACATTAGTTCATATAATTTTTTTTCTTCAAAT